GCTAGGTGAAGCCCCGTTATACATGCTCACTCGGAACATTTTATGGCACTGTGAAACGGTGCAAAACCACGCCCAGTGGTCCAAACCCGATTATGGTTTTTCTAGCAAATGTATGACTTCTTTTTCTGCAACATGGCGACCAAATATGCTTTCCTTTTTTCGCCGATGCTCGCGCGCGTTCTTTTTCGATGTTTTCTGCTGTTCAAATCTTCTGTATAGCCTAGAATTCCTTCAAGTTTAGGTCGTATTCTTCGAAATCTTCCTCATGAACGAAAGAGGCGAGACTGATGATCACGACTTGAAAGGGATGGCACAAAATCGAGATGACTTCGAGAAGAAAATGGAAGAAATTGGTGTTGCCATAGTAGGATTCCATGTGAGTTGTCGCTTGCTCCAATTACGAACTTTGCCTATTCCTGGTCTACATGTCTGTTTTTAGGACTCGGCAAGCCGAATCAAATCTCAGCTAAACAAGATCGAATATCATCAGGTAAGCGCTTTACTTACTCAACCTTGAAGCCTTGTTTGGTGTCGGGACAAACTGGTTCCGAATTCATCACAGTCGCCCAATCAATTGCGGCAATGCGTTTCATCGTGTGATGTAATTGCTTCTAGTATGAGAGTCGCTTGCTATCTCCTAGTAGTCTTTAATCCTGCTCAAAATTCGTGTTTTATACTTCTTAACATTCCTGTCATGTACGCTTTTCTCCTGCCAGTTTCCTCCGTTAAAGGGTGCACAATGCATACCGTCTTTATTATATTTGTCTGTTATAATGACAAATCAAACAAGTGGATAGCCTGTCCCATTTAGCTGCTTGTCAAGTCTTTGTTTTGATTTTAGGCAAAAAAATTAAATAATTTCTATCTGTTTGGTGCATGCCCTTATAGAATCTGTTATGTGAACGCAACATTGTGCGACTGCATCTAATCGAAATTCAGATTAAGTTGCGAAATGCCCTATACATAGCTTAGATTTTTTCCAGTTGCTTTCCCTGCAATATATGGGATGCTGATCCTACCTTGTTTGTATCTTCCTTCTTTTGGGGTCTACTGAGCATCTCACGATACTCGGCGTAGATAATGGTGAAAGCATGCGCATAGTAATAGACAAGGCTGATACGGCTAGAAAGACAAGGTGTTGCTTTTTTTCCTTATCAGTATGAGGAGCGTTATTTTATACTAAGTAAGCTCTACGAGACGCGTTCATACTTCCGCACCAAGTTTTCACGTGAAGAAGTTAGCATCTAGAAAGATCTGGATGCCATAATCGAAAAAAGTTATAGTTTCCGCCCAAAAACCTACATTCCTACTCGTAACTTCTGTTCTAGAAGCTGGCTTTTGATTAATAACAATTTAGCTTTCCTTTCTTTTTTCTACACCGAATTTCTTTCTATGGTACCAACTCTCCCGCAGGGCTGAATCCACGGGAAGTGTTTATGTTAGAACATCAACCTCAAGAACTTAGAAACTGTTTATGGCTTATGCGGGAGTATGCTATGTGTTAGCGAGTGGGGATCTATTATGGATATTTTGTGCTGAAGTTTCTTTTTCTTGATTTCTGCTTGGGGAACTTTTGATTTTCAACTACCTAGCATTGGTCGAACTCGATGCGAAAGTATGAAACCGTTTTGTAGAGCTTACTTCGCTCTATCGGAAAGTGCCTCTTTGCGTTTTTGGGGTGTTCTGTTGCGGTACTAACAAATGAAGAAGCACATTCTTTCTTTCAACCTATTATATACTAGCTGGCATACCCGACTTCGCCCGGTCCAGTTAAAACACTATGATAAAGATCCCA